GTCACCCCCTCAAAACACCCCCCAACACCCTCATACCCCCCCTCATATTCAGGCGAGCCATGGACAAGGAAAGGGACCAACATCATAAGTCTCATTTTAGAACAGCAGCAAGCAGAGTAGTCACGCCGACGGTCGGCGCCCCCGGATTGGTCGGCTGCCGACCAGCCAACCATTCATTCCAGCTCTTGGCACCTACCGGTTGGAGGTCAGTCGGCACCTGGCTTTTTTTTCTTTTTTTCCTTTTTTTTGTGGGGTCCATAACCCCCAATAACCCCACCAAAACACCCATACCCCTCCTCGTCACCCCCTCAAAACACCCCCCAGCACCCTCATACCCCCCCTCATACCCCCCCCTTATACCCCTCCCATAGCTCGCTATAACCCCCCTATCACCCCCGCATCCCCATCCAAAAGTTTCTCCGCAGATTTGGGCTGTACTCACCAAGTGCAGTACAGCCCTGAACTCGGATTTGAAAAAAGATCAGTGGATGACCCTCTACCGACTGGTCGGCATTCGGGCTGTTTGCGGAAACGCTACTGCGTTATTATGCGACCTGGCCACAGATGAGAGCAGCAAGTAAGAGTAGTCGCAGTGGTCAACATCACCCAATAACCATAGCTGGGGAGAGAGACGAAGACATTCAGAGAGGCTACCAAAGCCTGAGGGTCCGTAGGAGAGTCAGAGGGAGATAGACATGCTTGGTGATGGTGGAAGGCATCCATCGCCATGAAGCTTGAGTAACCTGTTGTATGTACCCGGCCGTGCAAGGACCAGGGGAAGGTCCAAGGCAAAAAAAAAAAAAAAAAAAAGGTTATGCAGAAAAATAAACTGAACAACGTTTGCCTCAGGGTCACATCGAAATTCTTTACCAAATTTTTCCTGTTAAGATCAATTAGTACGCATGTGGACTGAACCTCTGCTGGGTATGTGAAGCCCTGAAGTCCCATGGGCGGCGGCGCCATCAGCGGGAGTGGGAGACTCACTAGTGGCGGTGGGAACGTTTCTCGGGCGCAAAGGGTTAAACATTTCCAGCCACAACCGCGTTTAGAGACATAGTGACGTTTACCCTTCAAGACTGGCTGATCTCCAAAAGCAGGTTCAGTGACACAGGGTCACCAATGCCTTGAGTGGTGTGGGGAGTGTCTTCCGCTCGACTTTGTGCCATCTGGAAAACCCGGCTCCGATTTTCCCCACTCGTATATTCTGTGGGCGGCGCGGTTATCTATCTCTCCCTTCTTTTGAATTCCCTTGGATTCTTTATATGTGTAGTATGCATTTGGACTGAATTTTTGAATCGTCATGCATTTAAGAATTTAGCATGCTCTTGGAAATAATTTTTAGGGTTGGATTGTAAAATTTTCGTGAATTGCCTTGTTCATTTTCGAGATTTGCGGTTTATAGCTCGTAGTTCCTTGCCAATAGTGTTTCAATTTTAGAAACATGCGTGTTTTCCTGAGTAGCAAGGATACTGTACTGCCATAGACTTGCTTTGCAATTTTTCTTTTTTTGGAGAATCCTTTAAGGGACACTGGACCCAGTTTCCAGGAGCCTAAGCTGAGTATGATCTCAGCATGTTTGTACCGGGTTGATATGTAGGGGTGTGTTTCCGGGCCCCAGTGGTCTCATTTGGAATCAAAAGCGCTATGTTTCTCAAAAAAAAAAAAAAAAAAAAAAAAAATTTACCAATAATACCAAATATAATTTTTTTTTTGGCCCGGTCGGGCAAGTGGTCCCGGGCCACTCTGGTAGCCTAGTAACAATCTTGAATTACCTAGGGACGGTCAGTTTGATGATCATATCTCAAGGCCGTCGCCCTTTTTAAAAGAGGGAAATGAGAAAAAAAAGAAAAACAAAAGGTGTCACCAGGGTGGCCGGCGTTTGGGACGGGCCGAACGCCTGAACGTACGGGACCCCTGGGGGATGCGTTCGGTCGTTCGGGCCGAACGTGGACCCAAAAAAAAAAAAAAAAAAAAAAAAAAAAAAAAACAGAAAAATCTGGAAAAAAACGTATGTTATGCAGAAAGATAAAATAAACAACATTTTCCTGAGCATTACATCCAAATTCCTTACCAAATTTGAAATAAAAATAAAATACGGGAAATAAATATTAAATACTAATAAGAAAAATAAGAAAAAATAAAAAGAGAAATTAGAGAACTAAAAATTAGCGAGTGCGCAAGCCCGTTTTCGACACCGCCATCTTTGGCGATTTTTCATTTTGTTTTGGCAAAGCCAAATGCCCTGAAAATGTATACATGTGTACTTCAGATAATAAAAAACTCGTGAAAAAAGTTTCAAAAAATAATAAAATTGTTTAGGCCCCGAAATAAAGTGAAACAAAAAGTAAAAAGTGAAAACAAAAAAATTGTGAGTGGGCGAGCACGTTTTGACACCTCCATCTTTGGAGATTTTTCTTTTTTTTTTGGCTTAGCAAAATGACTTCAAAATTTATAGGCAGGTACCTAACACCATAGAGAACGCACAAAAAAAAAATCAGAAAAAAAAGTTATTGTTAGGTGCCGAAATCATTTTTGGCGGGGGCCGAACCCCTTCAGGTTCGGACCCCGAACAGTCCCCGAATGCCCAAACGTACGGAGGTCCGCCCGAGGGCCTCCGTACGTACGGGCTGGTAACCCTGGGTGTCACAATTTAGTATTTAACAAGTACATAGCCAGTGGTGGAAAGAAGACTTGAAACGGTGACAAGATACAAGATAAGCATCATCCTCACCTGGATCTCTGTGAAGTCGACAATGTTCCGCATCATCCTCATAAGAGTTTGGGCGGACGACAACACCTCTGACACTATGTCGTTCTGCGCATCTTCGAATTGCATATCACTTAAGAGAGTGAGCATGCCTGGCAAAACATGCATTTGTGTTAGTAACAGCTAAATGAGATAGAGCAGGGTTGCAAGAAGATGGGAGGCCAAACGGATTGGAGGGAGGCAGTAAAGAGTACAAGGAGAAAGAGGTGTAGAAGTGTAGAGGAGGAGTTGGTCATTGGGAAGAGATTAGGTTCAATTGCAAAAAAAAAAAAAAAAAAAAAAAAAAAGGTTCAACAGCAATCAACCTAGCCCAGGTGGCTGAACTGTACACAAACGTAACAGTCGCTAAACCGATCATGAGCTCAAGACTCTAGTCCTTTTTTTTTTCTTTTTTTTTTCTTTTTTTTTTCTTTTTTCTTTTTTTTTCTTTTTTTTTTCCCTTTTTTATTATTATAAAGTTAATAGAAACAGAATCTTGGGGTTCTGACTCCGTTTTCATTCTGCAAGTCGGAAGGGATAACAATAAACAATCATGCAAGCTCCACGGGCCCTCCCCCTTATGGTGTCGAGGCCCAGAAAAAAAAAGAACGGCATGAGTTCGAGTCCTGATGGGATCAGGTCTATGAGATGACATACATCATTCCAGGAAGTACTCGGTGAGCATATCACGCCACACGTAGTCACACATCACACTGATTGAGAGACAAAGTAACCAAAGTCGATCATCATTCGTCGTTCCGCAACACCCAGAATCCGCCATTCATTCCAAAAGTAACCCCCACCGCGGTCTATCTCGGCGTAAGCCGTGAGAGACCGTGGACCGACCGAAAGACGACTTTGGTAGTTCAATCATTGCTTGCGTACCTACGGTTCCAAGAGGAACAGCGTTGGATCATATTCGATTCTTTCCACCTTACCTGTCACCGAAGTGTGTCCCTATATTGCACTGACTCGTTCACCAAAAAAGCCAAAGTAGTAAAGTACCCATCGAAGGAGTTGTGCTATGGGGAAGTGGTTAAACCTGTTGAACCTGTTTCATATCTTTTGTTCCGCCTGTTCATTTTTTTGTGCTTCGGTTTCCTCCCCCATCGAATGAGTTGTGCATTAGGGTCAGGTCCCACTCGTGCAGAAAGCATGAACCTGGTCACAAAAAAATGGGTAGGTTCACGTTTTAAGATTTTGCAGTTGCTACCAACGAGCCTCCCTCAGTTGGTACACCCATGAACTGTTGAATTACAGACCCGAGTTCGAATCCTGATGGACCTAGATGAATGCAATGAAATAACTGGGGCCGCTCAACTTGATGATGATATCTCAAGACCGTCGCCCGTTAAAGAAAGGGGAAAAAAGAAAAAGGAAAAAAAAGATTTTCAAGTTGCTGGTTTAGGTTAGGTTCTTGCCATTCAACTGATCCACATGGGATGGATAAAAGAGGCTTCAACCTTTTTTCGCACGGTCTTGCAAACTGGAGACTTTGACAACATATTGACGAGTGTTTCGGGGGTTAGGGGTTCACTCTTACAGGCTTAGGGGTTTAGGGTTCATGGTTTAGGGGGGTTAGGGGGTTAGGGGGTTGAGGGGTTTAGGAATGTAGAGGTTATGCCCACCCTGATTCATACCCACCCACATGGAACACAGACTATAACAATAGATGCAGATTTTTGTGGGATTAAAGCTAGCATTTTAAGGGTTTAGGAGTTAGACCACCAGTACACATGGGCCCAGAGGCGCTCCACTGCGAACCAAGCTTTTCGGAACCGGCATTGGAATGTAATCATTATCTACAACTAAGAAAATTTCCAGCAAAAGGATAGTCCAATAATACCACCTACAGGCAAATAAGTTGAAATAACGTAATACATTATCGTGAATTTCTGCTATCTTTATATTTAGCATCATTTGAATTGCACTGCCAGCCATTGTGGTTCAGAGAGACCGAGCCGCAAACTTTTCAGAGTATGCTGTGTATTGGTGGTTTAAAGCTAACAGTTCAAGGGTTCAGGGTTTAGGGGATTAGAGTTTAGGGGTTCAGGGGTTAGGGGAGGGGTTAGGGGTCAGCGGTGAGGGGTCAGGGGTTAAGGGTCAGGGGTTAAGGGTCAGGGTTTAGGGGAGGGGTTAGGGAAAGGCTTAGGGGAGAGCTTAGGGGAGGGTCTAGGCTTTAGGGGTTCAGGGTTCAGGGTTCAGGGGTTTAGGGTATGAGGGGTTACGATTCATACCCACCTACATGGCCTAGAGACTTTTAACGACATATTTATGCAGACTTTCCAGGTTAAAGGTATCAGTTTAAGAGTTAAGGATCTAGGGGTTTAGGGGTTTTGCAGGTTTACGGGTTGAAGCGTTTTCGGTTTAGGGGTTAACATGGCCTACAAAATTTTGACGACACAATGATGCAGAGTTTAGGGGTTAAGACTAACAGTTTTAGAGTTTAGGATTTGGGGGCTCGGGATTTACGGGTTCAGGGGGGTTCCGTGTTCAGGTTTTAGGGCCTTAGGGTTGAGGCGTTTGGGGTTTAAAAGGTTTTATGATTCATACCCACCAACATGACCTACACACTTACAACGAGAGGACTGGGATGGGTCAATCTCCTGATGCAGACTTGAGGAGGTTCAAGCTAACAGTTTAGAAGTTTAGGGTATAGGGTTTGTAGGATGCACACCTACCCCACACGGCCTACCTACAGACTTTAACAACACATTGATGCAAAGTTCAGGAGATTAAAGCTCAGGGTTTCGCATGATAGGTCTAGGAGTCGAGGGGTTTAGGGGTCTAGGGGTTTAGGGGTCTAGGGGTTTAGGGGGTTAGGGGTTTAGGGGTTTAGGAGTCATACCTACCCACATGGCCTACAGATTTTAACAACGTAATGATGCAGAGTTCAGGGGTTGAAGTTAACCGTTTAAGGGTTTAGGGATTAGGGATTAGGGATTAGGGTTTAGGGGTTAGGGTTTGGAGTTCAGGGGTTTAGGGTTCATACCCACCCACAAGGCCGAGAACGGGAGTCATAAGCTCGTGGGCCATCACAGACAGGAAGCCGTCTCTGACATCCATTTGCTTCTGAAGACCGTCTGCCACCAGCACCAGCTCTTTGTGTTGGCTCTTGAGAATGGCTATGGCATCCCGCAGCTTGTGGACCTGAAGGTAAAGAGCTAACAGCAGATTGATAATAACGACGCTGGAGACGATGACGAGGCTCCAGACCAACACACGAAAATGATACTCGGCATTACCGAGATAGCACCTCAACTCCATAAAAGGAAGGAAACTGACATTTACAGCTATGGCGACGTCATAACCGGGGGCCGATCCCGGTCGAGAGGTGTCACTGAGGGGCTCGAAAAGAAGATCTTCCCGCCAAAATGAAGATACATTGAACCGCTCCCTTGATGAGTTTGAAGATTGGGTATCCGTCGAAGATTGGGTATCCGTCGAGTTGTTGGTCATCGATGGACCCTCGGAGGACGTATGATTGCCCGGAAGGCGAGTAAGGTTGTACGCTCTAACTGTCAGAGTGCCACGTGGATCGGCATCGCTTAAGTACTCCATGAAGAACCCGGACATGTTGAATTCCATGAGATAGACACCACGGACCTTGGGCTTATACTCTCCAGAGCTCGTGCGGTCATTAACATCCGCGGCAAAAACAGGGGTAGCCATCAAGAAACCTCTGTTATATCGTTGGGAGTCGATAAAGTAGGGCTGGGATGTAACCCTACCACCCCAAGATGCCAGAGAGAAGAAAGAAGACATGCTGGACACTGCCAAGCAAGCATAGTAAAACACGAAAGCCACAGACAAACTGCCTGGTCAGAGACGATCGACGTAAGATAGAAGGAAGCCATAGCCAAACTTCCCGGTGTGTGTGTGTGTGTGTGTGTGTGTGTGTGTGTGTGTGTGTGTGTGTGTGTGTGTGTGTGATAGATAGAGAGA